GCATGACTGCGTGCGAGTAAAAAAGGCGTGGGCCTGTGGCAAGGGATTAGAAATCGCAAAGCAAGAGTGCCCCTCTGCAAGGTGTTGGCGTCTCCGGCGGGCTGAGCACCACCTCGGTCGCGACGCCTGTCTCACGACGGGCTCAGAACGGGCTCGGAGCGGGCGCGGGCCCGGGCCCATTGGCACGGACGGGCACACTTTTCGCAACGTCAGTTTCGCTCGACAATCTTGCTGAGTTGGCGATCAGGCGCAGCTGTGTGGCAGACGCAACGTCTGGACAAGATCACAGCGTAGCAAAACGGAACTAGCTCATCTAAGCCCTACCATAGTGCGCCACAGCAGGCACGCCCTGCATCCTAGTACAGACTACATGGCGGCGCTACAACATGTCGTTAAGTGCGGTGTGCTCAGCTACAGGCTACACTCACATGCTTTATCACAACGAAATCACGGCAACGCAAGCGGCTGTGAGCGGATTGCACAAAAACTGCTTTACGCTGGTTTGGGGCTCGGCTGGGGGCGCGCGCCCGCCCGCGCCGACAAGACCGCGACGCAGTGACAGCGTGTAAATAGCTAACGTGCACTCTAGTCTACTGAAGTTGACACGGATTTAGACCCTACTTGCGGGCGCGCCCGCGCCCGGGCGCGGCGCGCGCGCGCCCGCGCGCGCGCCCGGGCGGGCGCGCCCGCGCGCGCCCGCCGAGAAGATCACGCAGTGGCAGTGTGTACTGAGCCGACGTGTGCTATATTACGTTGCGCATAGCTGATTAAGTTACTAGGGCACTGTGGCACAAAATATCTTGCGCTACTTGCAAAGAGGCCTGGGAGTGGGCGCGCGCGCAGGCGCGCGCAAATCCCGCGCGCGCCCGCACGCGCAAACAAGATCGCGCAGTGACAACGAGTGCTTGGCTAACCAGTCGCACGCGCGGGCGCGCGCGGCGGGCGCGCGCGCGCGCGCCCGCCCGCGCTGACAAGATCGCGCAGGAACAACGTGCATTCAGCCAACGTGTACTCTAGTCTTTGGTTGACACTGAATCTGCACCCTCTGACTCACCGGCGCAGAAAAACGTTCCCCTTGGCCTGGGAATGCAGAAGCGGCAGGCCCGCCCGCGCCCGCCCGCCCAGAAGATCACGGAGTGGCGACGTGTACTGAGCCGACGTGTGCCATATTACATTGCGCATAGCTGATTAAGTTTCTAGGGCACTGTTGCACAAAATATCTTGCGCTACTTGCAAGGAGGCCTGGGAGCGGGCGCGCGCGCAGGCGCGCGCAAATCCCGCGCGCGCCCGCACGCGCAAACAAGATCGCGCAGTCACAACGTGTGCTTGGCTAACCAGTCGCACGAGCGGGCGCGCGCGGCGGGCGCGCGCGCGCGCGCGCCCGCCCGCGCTGACAAGATCGCGCAGGAACAACGTGTACTTAGCCAACGTGTACTCTAGTCTACTTAGGTTGACACTGATTTGGACCCTATGATTTTTCCGGCGCAGAAATACTTTTTCTTGCCATGGGAATGCGGAAGCGGCAGGCCCGAGCGCCCGGGCGGGCGCGCGCGCCCGCCGCGCGCCGCGCGGCGCCGGGCGCGCGCCCGCCCGGGCGCGGCGCCCGGCGGGCGGGCGCGCGCCCGGGCGCGCGCCCGCGCGCGCGCCCGCTGAGAAGATCACGCAGTGGCGGCGTGTACTGAGCGGACGTGTGCCATATTACATTGCGCATAGCTGATTAAGTTCCTAGGGCACTGTGGCACAAAATACTTTGCGCTAATTTGGAAGTTGCGCACGCAAAAACTGTGCTGCGTTGCGCCAGAGAAGCGCAAGCAAAGACCAGATCCCGGCGTTGCCAAACGTTATTAGCTGATTGAAACTCTACGTTGCAACACAGTAGTTAATTCTTTGCGCAAGTTTGGCGTTTGCCTGAGGGCGCGCGCGCCCGCCTGCGCCCCCTGCATCCTACCAAAGACAGGGTCGGGTCACGCCGGTACAACGTGTACCTTGCTGACGTACACTGTACCTACGCTGCCTCCTAGCACAGACAGGATCACGGCGTTACAGCGTGTTATTAGCTGATCTAACATCGCGCGCATCGCGCCAGAAAGGTGCTTTACTCTAGTTTGGGATTGGCATGCGGGCGTGCAAGCGCCCTGTGTCCTAGCACAGACAGCGGCGTTGCAAGCAGAAAGACCCTGAGCTAAACTTTACCATGTTGTGCTGCAGCGTTTTGGGGCGCGTGCGCGCCCCGCGCTAGTTGGGCGAACGCGTGCCCGCAGTGGGCTTTGAAGATAGCGCTACTCTGAGACTAAGAGTAGTCACGCTAACAGGAATAATAGCTAACAGGAATAATAGTAGTGATACGCCTAGTTTGATTTGTGAACATCTAGTGGTAGTAGTTGTCCTTTTGCTGCGGGACTCTTGCCAGGACGTAACGCGGCCCGGTGCTTGTTATGCTCGTTCCCTAAAAGTCCCTGGCAAGGGGGGGCCGTTCAAGCACAAGCAAACGCCACTGTCGCACATGCGTGATTTCTCCTGGATGAAGCGAAGGGTGTTCATTCAATTTTGCTCAGGCTTTCGGGCTGATATACCTTTGGGTTTCCCAGACCAAAAGCAAGCCATGCTCTGAAGCAAAACAAAAAAGCGGGTATTTGGAGTAGAGGATTGCCCAGACTCTTGAATCAAGAACCTTGTCCACTCGCACCCTCAAACACCCACTGTTTTGCGTTCCATAGTCTTCTGCCAGCACCGCTGCCAGCGGCGCCACCAGCACCGCACCCGCGCAGCGGCAGCATGACCCGGCCAAAAGAAGCGTTGCCTGGGCTGCCCGCTTCGACTTTGGCATGTTTCCCGAGAAAAACAAGGTTGACTGACAGAACGGGGTAGAAAAATGGCAAAGCCGCTTTCCGCGCACCAAAGTGGTTGATTCCAATCAATGTCTACCTTCCCACTAAAGCAGATGTTCTGCGCAGCAAGCCGCAAGCTGAAGCCCAAGTTTCGCTGGTGCAGCAGGTGCAGGACGTGCAGGTAAACCAACATGCTCCAAATAAGCGGAAGGACTGTTCAGACGGTCAATCACGGTTGAAGTTGTCGACAGAGGGAATCAACATGCAACAAGCTTAGCTGTCAACATACTTTTACTTTTAGTGTGCGTTAACAGGAAACCCAAGGACACCAATCATTTTAGAGGGTCTGAATTCAGAGACAAGCCCAACTCACGATGAAACATCACATCCGGTTGGCTGAAAACGCACGGGTCGGGCTGCAGCACGCCAAGCCGTTCGGCTCCCCGCGTCTAGTCTTGTCGTAGCCACGCGTCTAGCCTTGGATGGGCCGAATTCTCAGCTGCCCTTCTCCTAGTCTGCAATCAACACTTCAAGCAAAAACACAGCTGGAAGGACAAGGTTGACAGAAGCTTCTTCTGTCCCTTTAGGAGAACGGGGTGGGTGGTCCTGCGCACTGGTGCGTCTAAACCCCCCTGTTAGTTTGTTTTGACGGAAAACAAAAAGAAACATTTATTTTAGGGGCCCCTCATTTGAAGACAAACCCAACTCAAGATGAAACACCGGGCTGGCTGAAAAAAAACACGGGCCGGGCTTTGAGCCCCAGGTTCTTGATGGGTCTTGGGCAGGCCCGTCCTCGCACTTTTTTGGGATCAACTTCAGATTTTGGCACAATGTCTGCTCGCATGCCGAGCCGCTGGGCTCTCCAGGTCGCTGCCACGCGTCTTGCCTTGGGTGGCCCCAATTCTCAGCTCCCACAAAGGAAAAGAAGAAGGCCCCTTCCACCCCGGGTTTGGGATGGGTGCGCATGCCGAGCCGCTCGGCACACGTCCAGTCTCGTCCCTGCCACGCGTCTTGCCTTGGGTGGCAGCTCCCAGGCGAAAAAAAAGGAAAAGAAGAAGTTGGTCTTTGAAGGAAAAAATAGCCCCCCCCCCATACGAACCCCGATCCGCACCCCTTTGGAAAAACACCTCCGATTTTGGTATGGTCTGCTCGCACGCCAAGCCGCGTGTCCATCCAGTCTCGTCCCTGCCACGCGTCTTGCCTTGGATGGCCCGAAGTCTCAGCTCCCAGGCAAAAACAAAGGACAAGAAGAAGGCCCCCATAGCGTCGAAATCATAGCACGCTTATTGTTTGACCACGGTTGGCCCGAAAGCAGAACATCGCAAGCGAGGTCGGCCCAACGCTGCAGGATGCGTTCTTTTTCCCTACACTTCGTGAAGCAAGCGCGAGACAGCACCAGGCAAGGTGCTCTGCGCAAACTGGTCGGTGCAAGTTGGTCTGCGCAAGTTGCTCTACGCAAGTTGCACTGTGCAAGTTGAGGAAAAAATAGCCCCCCCCCCTCCCCATACGAACCCCGGGCCGCACCCCCTTGGAAAAACACCTCCGATTTTGGTATGGTCTGCTCGCACGCCAAGCCGCGTGTCCACCACCCAGTCTCGTCCCTGCCACGCGTCTTGCCTTGGATGGCCCGAAGTCTCAGGCTCCCAGGCAAAAACAAAGGACAAGAAGAAGGCCCCCATAGCGTCGAATTCATAGCACGCTTATTGTTTGCCTTGTTGGGTGACGTTGGAAGGAAAACTAGACCACGGTTGGCCCGAAAGCAGAACATCGCAAGCGAGGTCGGCCCAACGCTGCAGGATGCGTTCTTTTCCCAGCACCAGGCAAGGTGCTCTGCGCAAACTGGTCGGTGCAAGTTGGTCTGCGCAAGTTGCTCTACGCAAGTTGCACTGTGCAAGTTGAGGATAAAAATAGCCCCCCCCCCCATACCAACCCCGTTGGAAAAACACCTCCGATTTTGGTATGGTCTGCTCGCACGCCAAGCCGCGTGTCCACCATCCAGTCTCGTCCCTGCCACGCGTCTTGCCTTGGATGGCCCGAAGTCTCAGCTGCCCTTCTCCTAGTCTGCAATCAGCATTTAGCAAACGGAAGCCAATCACTACTGGGGCCCCTCACTCATTTGGAGACGAACCCGCCTCAAGATCAAACAACAGGTGGCTGAAAAGCACACGCGCTTCAAGTGCGAATGCGCAGCGTGTTTACCTGGATGATGTTCACGGAAAAAATGGACCCCGCGCATGCCGAGCCGCTCGGCGCACGTCCAGTCTCGCCCCTGCCATGCGTCTTGCCTTGGGTGGCCCAAATTCTTAGCTCCCATTCGAAAACAAAGACCCCAGTCTGCAATCAGCACTTAGCAAACGGAAGCCAATCACTACTGGGGCCCCTCACTCATTTGGAGACAAACCCGTCTCAAGATGAAACAACAGGTGCCTGAAAAGCACACACGCTTCAAGCGTCGAATGCGCAGCATGTTTACCTTCTTGACCCCCCCCCCCCCCATGCCGGGTTTTGGATGGGCGCGCGTGCCGAGCCGCTCGGCCCACGTCCAGTCTCGTCCTGCCAGCGTCTTGCCTTGGATGGCCCCAGTCTGCAATCAGCACTTAGCAAACGGAAGCCAATCACTACTGGGGCCCCTCACTCATTTGGAGACAAACCCGTCTCAAGATGAAACAACAGGTGCCTGAAAAGCACACACGCTTCAAGCGTCGAATGCGCAGCATGTTTACCTTCTTGACCCCCCCCCACGCCGGGTTTTGGATGGGCGCGCGTGCCGAGCCGCTCGGCCCACGTCCAGTCTCGTCCCTGCCGCGCGTCTTGCCTTGGGTGGGCGAAAACACAAAGGAAAAGAAGAAGGCCCCTTTAGACAACCGAGCCGCTCGGCGCACGTCCAGTCTCGTCCCTGCCACGCGTCTTGCCTTGGGTGGCCCAAATTCTTAGCTCCCATTCGAAAACAAAGACCCCAGTCTGCAATCAGCACTTAGCAAACGGAAGCCAATCACTACTGGGGCCCCTCACTCATTTGGAGACAAACCCGTCTCAAGATGAAACAACAGGTGCCTGAAAAGCACACACGCTTCAAGCGTCGAATGCGCAGCATGTTTACCTTCTTGACCCCCCCCCCCCATGCCGGGTTTTGGATGGGCGCGCGTGCCGAGCCGCTCGGCCCACGTCCAGTCTCGTCCCTGCCACGCGTCTTGCCTTGGATGGCCCCAGTCTGCAATCAGCACTTAGCAAACGGAAGCCAATCACTACTGGGGCCCCTCACTCATTTGGAGACAAACCCGTCTCAAGATGAAACAACAGGTGCCTGAAAAGCACACACGCTTCAAGCGTCGAATGCGCAGCATGTTTACCTTCTTGACCCCCCCCCACGCCGGGTTTTGGATGGGCGCGCGTGCCGAGCCGCTCGGCCCACGTCCAGTCTCGTCCCTGCCGCGCGTCTTGCCTTGGGTGGGCGAAAACACAGAGGAAAAGAAGAAGGCCCCTTTAGACAACCGAGCCGCTCGGCGCACGTCCAGTCTCGTCCCTGCCACGCGTCTTGCCTTGGGTGGCCCAAAAACCCAGCTCCCAGGCAAAAACAAAGGACAAGAAGAAGGCCCCCATAGCGTCGAATTCATAGCACGCTTATTGTTTGCCTTGTTGGGTGACGTTGGAAGGAAAACTAGACCACGGTTGGCCCGAAAGCAGAACATCGCAAGCGAGGTCGGCCCAACGCTGCAGGATGCGTTCTTTTTCCCTTTCGTGAAGCAAGCGCGAGACAGCACCAGGCAAGGTGCTCTGCGCAAACTGGTCGGTGCAAGTTGGTCTGCGCAAGTTGCTCTACGCAAGTTGCACTGTGCAAGTTGAGGAAAAAATAGCCCCCCCCCCCCCATACCAACCCCGTTGGAAAAACACCTCCGATTTTGGTATGGTCTGCTCGCACGCCAAGCCGCGTGTCCACCATCCAGTCTCGTCCTTGCCACGCGTCTTGCCTTGGATGGCCCGAAGTCTCAGCTGCCCTTCTCCTAGTCTGCAATCAGCATTTAGCAAACGGAAGCCAATCACTACTGGGGCCCCTCACTCATTTGGAGACGAACCCGCCTCAAGATCAAACAACAGGTGGCTGAAAAGCACACGCGCTTCAAGTGCGAATGCGCAGCGTGTTTACCTGGATGATGTTCACGGAAAAAATGGACCCCGCGCATGCCGAGCCGCTCGGCGCACGTCCAGTCTCGCCCCTGCCATGCGTCTTGCCTTGGGTGGCCCAAATTCTTAGCTCCCATTCGAAAACAAAGACCCCCAGTCTGCAATCAGCACTTAGCAAACGGAAGCCAATCACTACTGGGGCCCCTCACTCATTTGGAGACCAAACCCGTCTCAAGATGAAACAACAGGTGCCTGAAAAGCACACACGCTTCAAGCGTCGAATGCGCAGCATGTTTACCTTCTTGACCCCCCCCCCACGCCGGGTTTTGGATGGGCGCGCGTGCCGAGCCGCTCGGCCCACGTCCAGTCTCGTCCCTGCCGCGCGTCTTGCCTTGGATGGCCCCAGTCTGCAATCAGCACTTAGCAAACGGAAGCCAATCACTACTGGGGCCCCTCACTCATTTGGAGACAAACCCGTCTCAAGATGAAACAACAGGTGCCTGAAAAGCACACACGCTTCAAGCGTCGAATGCGCAGCATGTTTACCTTCTTGACCCCCCCCCCACGCCGGGTTTTGGATGGGCGCGCGTGCCGAGCCGCTCGGCCCACGTCCAGTCTCGTCCCTGCCGCGCGTCTTGCTTCCAGTCTCGTCCCTGCCACGCGTCTTGCCTTGGGTGGCCCGAATTCTCAGATAGAGCAAGCCAACAACATGTGCGACCCAGGTTGCCAAGATATTACCATTAAGAATAGCAGTCCCAAATAGACATCCATATATTCAGGGAGACCGTGGAATGAGACAGACTTTCCAGCCGCGAAAAATATGGTCAAGATTTGTGGGAGTGTTGCAGGGCGGGGGGCCTACCAAGGCGGAATCGAACCCGTCGAGGGGGGAGTCAGGGGAGGTGGGGGGGTCAGTTGCTCCTGCTCTGTGCAATGTGGCACAAACCCGCCTCCTCTTGGTAAAAGCTCAAAGCGTGGATACCCCGTTGTATATTACTGCGCGTGCGAGAACATCTTGCTTTTTGCAGTCAAAGCGTCACCACAGCCGGGTCCGCCGTAGCCGCGCCTGAAGCTTCGTCGAAAGTCGCTGGTCACGGAAGCAGCACTCGAATGGAAAGACCCCCGCGCACGCAAATGCGCCTTAAGTGATACCAGTAGAGCCGGCGAAGCCGGTGGGCGGAAGTTCTAAAGCGAGAAGAGTGCCTATAGGAAGAGCTTGGCATGCGTTTGTTTGAAGAGCTGCTGGGCACAGCGCACTGGCGCAGGCTTGTCTCTTTCTTTCTTTCTTTCTTTCTTTCCTTCCTTCCTTCCTTCCTTCCTTCCTTCTTTCTTTCTTTCTGTCTGTCTGTCTGTCTGTCTGTCTTTCTCTCTCTCTCTCTGTCTTTCTCTCTTTCTTTCTTCCTTTCGTTCTTCCTACATTTCTCTCTTTCTCTCTTTCTCTATTTCTTTCTTTATTTCTGTCGCTCTTTCTTTCTTTATTTCTTTTTTCCATGCTTTCTTTCTGTGCCTCTGTGTCTTTGTCTCTCTCCTCCGTCTCTGTCTTTCTCCTTTTTTTTTTCTCTCTCTCTCTCTCTCTTTCTCTCTCTTTCTATTTGATCTATCTATCTATCTATCTATCTAACTACCTATCACCTGACCAATCTGCACTTGACCTTGCAGGGGAACAGAATGCTGCGCCTGCCACAAAGTCTGCGCCTCAGGCTGCCAACGTACTGCGCCTGCCACTGCGCGGCCGTGCCATTGGGGAACTTTCCGGCCCCGTGGCAAGACTGTGGCAAGCCGTGGCGAGACTGTGCGCTAAACAGGGCTACGCTTCGCGTGTCTAGCATGTCTAACTCCACTTTTCGTATTACGGAAGTTTTCTAACTAAACTTCCTTTGATCATCTTGAAGCATGCCTCTCTGCCAGGGGTTTTAGTTGAGCTTCTTGGAGCATCTCTTAGAGGCATCTCTCACCCAACTTTCCTGCAGTTCAGGCACCCAACCAGCACATAAATAAAATAACGGGTAGGAAACCAGAGAAACACAGTGGCATTACAAAAAGCGCTTAAGCCACCTCATGGTGGATGACTCTGACAAAGCACGCACCCTGGCGAGTGGGAGGCAATGAACATGTTGCCTGACATCACCCTGAAGGAAACTCAAAAGCAAAATGGATGCCCAAAAGGGTCAATATGTGGGTCTGTCTTTTTTTGAAGGCACTGTAGCAGTGGCATTTGTGGGCTTAAAAGGAAACTAAAAGGAAAGCCACACTTTTGGTGGCCCCCTAAACCAGCCAACACAAGTTTTGTGAACCTGTGTCCCAAGTCGTTTTGTCGCCTTCAGTGGGTCCAACATGCCCTTGCGGGTCACGATGATCTGCTTGGGCTGCTCCTCCGCGGGCAGTGGTCGGATCAGCACCACCACCTGCGGACTCGAAGGAAGCCAGGAGCAGCTGTCCTAACGCCAACGATCCCTCGCTGCCAAATAGATTCCGAATGTACCAAAAAATGGAAACCGGACAGTGGATGAACCCTCATCAGTTTCCAAATGTACCCAAAAACGGAGGTTGGTCCCAAGATTGTTCCACCCGATCCCAAAAGAATGTAGGCTCGAGTCCGGTTCGGCTGATGCACGAACAAAAAGAATGGGGAAAGGGTATTAACTAACTTCTTGCTTTGCAGTCAAAGCATCCGTGCGTCGCGTGCCAGGATGTCCGTACGGCCTCTCGAATGAGCCCGCGCGCAAAATAGTGAGAGGAACCCGTAGAAATACAGTGGCGTTGCAACATGCGGTCTTAAACCGCCTCATAGGCAATCTTGCGAAGCCCAAAAGGTAAATATTTGGGTCTGTCTGTTGCTGAGGGTAAGCCAAAAGGAAAAACACAATTTTGGTGGTCCCCTAAAAAGGACACCCAAATATGTCCACGCCTGTGTCTGTGTGTCGCCTCCAATCTACTACTACCATGATACTACCATGTGCTTACAGAACTCCTGATAGCTCCTTAAACCCCCTAAAAATTCAATTTTTGACAATTCCAGCTCCTTTGCAACCGTCCAACCACCTTCTAGCAGTGGGTCGAACATGCCCTTGCGGGTCACGATGGTCTGCTTGGGCTGCTCCTCCACGGGCAGCGGTCGGATTCGGATCAGCGCCGCCACCTGCGGACGTGAAGGAAGTTGCGGATCGCTTGGCATCGACTACATGCGGGCGTGGCTTTTTGAGGGAATCCCCAAAATGGTTTTTTTCACTAACCGCAAAAGACAAGCCAATGACACTTGTCAGCTATCGCTGCTGCCTCCTCGGCAGTCCCCTTTTTGTTGGGCTGAAAAGGAAGCCAAAGGAAAACTGGGCCTCCCCTATTTTTGACACCCCAAACAACAATTCCCACCCGAAACGAGTTGCGCACGGCTGTGTCTCAGTCCAGTGAGTCCAACATGCCCTTGCGGGTGTGCTTGGGCTGCTCCTCCACGGGCAGCGGTCGAATTCGGACCAGCGCCGCCGCCTGCGGACGTGAAGGAAGTTGCGGATCGGCATCGACTACATGCGGGCGTGGCTTTTTTTAGGGAATCCCTAAAATTGTGGTTTTCACTAACCCCGCAAGACAAGCCAGTGACACTTGTCAGCTATCGCTGCTGCCTCCTTGGCAGTCCCCTTTTTTGTTGGGCTGAAAAGGAAGCCAAAGAAAAACTGGGTCTCCCCTATTTTTGGCACCCCGAACAAAAATGTCCACCCAAAACGAGTTGCGCGCACCTGTGCCCCAGTCATTTTTGCGCCTCCAGTGGATGCAACATGCCCTTGCGGGTCTGCTTGGGATGCTCCTCCACGGGCAGCGGTCGGATTCGGATCAGCGCCGCCACCTGCGGACGTGAAGGAAGTTGCGGATCGCTTGGCATCGGCTACATGCGGGCGTGGCTTATTTAGGGAATCCCCAAAATGGTGTTTTTCACTAACCGCAAAAGACAAGCCAATGACGCTTGTCAGCTATCGCTGCTGCCTCCTCGGCAGTCCCCTTTTTTGTTGGGCTGAAAAGGAAGCAAAAAGAAAACTGGGCCTCCCCTATTTTTGACACCCCAAACAACAATTCCCACCCGAAACGAGTTGCGCACGGCTGTGTCTCAGTCTTTTTCTCGCCTCCAGTGAGTCCAACATGCCCTTGCGAGTGTGCTTGGGCTGCTCCTCCACGGGCAGCGGTCGAATTCGGATCAGCGCCGCCGCCTGCGGACGTGAAGGAAGTTGCGGATCGATTGGCATCGACTACATGCGGGCGTGGCTTTTTTTAGGGAATCCCTAAAATTGTGGTTTTCACTAACCCCGCAAGACAAGCCAGTGACACTTGTCAGCTATCGCTGCTGCCTCCTTGGCAGTCCCCTTTTTTGTTGGGCTGAAAAGGAAGCCAAAGAAAAACTGGGTCTCCCCTATTTTTGGCACCCCGAACAAAAATGTCCACCCAAAACAAGTTGCGCGCACCTGTGTCCCAGTCATTTTCTCGCCTCCAGGTGATGCAACATGCCCTTGCCGGTGTGCTTGGGCTGCTCCTCCACGTGCAGCGGTCGGATTCGGATCAGCGCCGCCACCTGCGGACGTGAAGGAAGTTGCGGATCGCTTGGCATCGACGGCATCGACTACATGCGGGCGTGGCTTATATAGGGAATCCCCAAAATGGTGTTTTTCACTAACCGCAAAAGAGAAGCCAATGACGCTTGTCAGCTATCGCTGCTGCCTCCTCGGCAGTCCCCTTTTTTGTTGGGCTGAAAAGGAAGCAAAAAAAAACTGGGCCTCCCCTATTTTTGGCACCCCAGACAACAATTCCCACCCAAAACGAGTTGCGCACGGCTGCGTCTCAGTCCAGTGAGTCCAACATGCCCTTGCGGGTGTGCTTGGGCTGCTCCTCCACGGGCAGCGGTCGAATTCGGATCAGCGCCGCCGCCTGCGGACGTGAAGGAAGTGCGGATCGATTGGCATCGACTACATGCGGGCGTGGCTTTTTTTAGGGAATCCCTAAAATTGTGGCTTTCACTAACCCCGCAAGACAAGCCAGTGACACTTGTCAGCTATCGCTGCTGCCTCCGTGGCAGTCCCCTTTTTGGTTATTTTTGACACCCCGAACAAAAATGTCCACCCAAAACGAGTTGCGCGCACCTGTGTCCCAGTCATTTTCGCGCCTCCAGTGGGTGCAACATGCCCTTGCGGGTCTGCTTGGGATGCTCCTCCACGGGCAGCGGTCGGATTCGGATCAGCGCCGCCACCTGCGGACGTGAAGGAAGTTGCGGATCGCTTGGCATCGGCTACATGCGGGCGTGGCTTAATCCCCAAAATGGTGGTTTTCAAAGTTTTCACTAACCCCGCAAGACAAGCCAGTGACACTTGTCAGCTATCGCTGCTGCCTCCTTGGCAGTCCCCTTTTTTGTTGGGCTGAAAAGGAAGCCAAAGAAAAACTTGGTCTCCCCTATTTTTGACACCCCGAACAAAAATGTCCACCCAAAACGAGTTGTCCCAGTCATTTTTGCGCCTCCAGTGGGTGCAACATGCCCTTGCGGGTCTGCTTGGGATGCTCCTCCACGGGCAGCGGTCGGATTCGGATCAGCGCCGCCACCTGCGGACGTGAAGGAAGTTGCGGATCGCTTGGCATCGACTACATGCGGGCGTGGCATATTTAGGTGAATCCCAAAAATGGTGTTTTTCACTAACCACAAAAGACAAGCCAATGACGCTTGTAAGCTATCGCTGCTGCCTCCTCGGCAGTCCCCTTTTTTGTTGAGCTGAAAAGCTAAAGGAAAACTGGGTTTCCCGCATTTTTGGCACCCCGAATAAAAATGTCCACCCAAAACAAGTTGCACGCATTTGTGTCCCAGTCATTTTCTCGCCTCCAGTGGATGCAACATGCCCTTGAAGGTCTGCTTGGGATGCTCCTCCACGGGCATCAGCGCCGCCACCTGCGGACGTGAAGGAAGTTGCGGATCGCTTGGCATCGACTACATGCGGGCGTGGCTTATTTAGGGAATCCCCAAAATGGTGTTTTTCACTAACCACAAAAGACAAGCCAATGACGCTTGTAAGCTATCGCTGCTGCCTCCTCGGCAGTCCC